TATTTGTTTATTGCAGATTGAATAAATGTGATAAAAGGTATATAGATTTTCCAGTTTTAAACTACTCAATACCTTTCATTCTGTTCCAACAACTGCTTTTGATCAAATTTAAGGTCCCTCGGGCCCTACAGTATTTTACCATTCTGGCACACCCAAACGCTGGTAAACTCTGGGCCAGAGACCCCCAATTCATCTAGCAAGTCTGCTTTGTGGCCACCCACTTGAAGTTTTAAATTGTGGTTGTTCAAACATTTTTCTAGGTCATATAGCCCTGGTGTGTCCACTTGCCATACAGAAGTGTGGTCGCTGTGAAGCTGAACACTGTGACACTGATGTGTCAAATGAGATAATGGTTAGCCCTGGTGGACAGTGTTTTTTGGTGCTCCCCGGTTGACACAAGCTTGGAAGCAGGAGTGGCATCCACTTCCGTAAATAGCTTGCCTCCAGAAACCCTATGAACCTGAAGAAAGGATGAAAGTCACGCACACAAGTGTCAAGGATTTTTGTTCATAGGGTCGTTATGAGTCACCTAGGCACTTAACAACAGCAATAATGAGCAAAATTAAGAATTTTAGTGTTCTTATTGTTGACAATATTATCCATAACTTGTTGTGATTTACAAAGTTTTTACAAAGCTTTTGCTTGGTCAACAAAACTCAAATGTGATAATCTCCAAGATCCGTCTGACAGCAGGACTGAGCTTTCAATTAATTAATTTCTTCTGAATCTTCCATTAATTTCAAGCCATTCACTGTCAGTATACTGTTAAAACAATTTTTAAATTATCTTTAGCATAATTTTACTAGTTTTTAGTATTAATAATAGTATTTTTTATTTCCACATTCTATTGAGTTATTTTTCTTTTAGGTGAGTATGTCTATGTATCTCCTGGAGCCAATCAACCAGGTCTTCCAAATTTCTTTGCATGGATAAGTGAGTGTATCTATCTCTACTGCTAGCCATCACAGTAGTAACTCAAATTGTATTCTGTCAGTTCCTGGAGACTTGGGTTGCAGGGATTTGGCCAATGTTTTTAATCTTTTTAGACTTTTCCCCTTCAATATCTTCAATTCTTTATCATATGATAAAAATTGAAAAAAATTGGATTAATTTTAGTAGAATGATTCTATCTATACCTTCAATCTTCTTTTGACTCTTTCAGAAACACTTCTTGTCCGCAGAATTCTTCACTATTATAAATCAATACTTGGATTTTTCTTTAGTTCTTTTAGCTTAATAAATAGCAAGATTGCTCTCTTGTTTGATTTTCTAACGCTGGGTCTTTGTACTCTACTCTAAATTAAAATGCTCTACTATGTCTTCAAAACCTGTACTACAAAAATCTTATAATCAGCTCTTTTATTTCAATGTTTTTCTCTCCTATCTATCATCTCCACATGCAAAAGCTCATTTCATAAGCTCTTCTACCCACTTTGATCTCTTTTTACATTTTATTGTTTTAACGCTAAATTATATTCTTCATGTTTGATGTCCTGATGTCATCTCACAACTCATTTGTTTTTCATTTGTCAATATTCAAAGTATTAAACCTATTCTTAAATGGTTTCCAAATCCAGATAGAATAGACACATCATAATTTTACTTTTATGGTTAGATTTTAATTTTCTTTAGATTCAATGTGTTTTTGCATATGCAGACTTAATCATCTATTCCACATCAGTTCCTGGTCTTGTTATGATTGATGATGTTGAGCTTCTCTTTTTCCATTTTGGTCAATTTTATTAGTTCTGATTTCTGTCATGTGAGGTCTGTGTGAACAGTTACTGTTCATATTGTGTTTTTTTAAAAAAATATAAACTTTATGAACTTTGTATGTAAACCAGTATAAAAAGAAAAAAGATATATGTCAATGAACAGTACAAACGTGGATAAAATAAATTTTTTAGATCTAAAAAAATATATTTCCAGCTATTAGATCATTGCTCTTTTAAAAATTTTAATATACAGTCCTTAATATTATGATAAATGGAGAAAAGATTGACATTGTTAGTTATATCATCTTGGTTGGATAAACAACCATGTTTATCTCAAATACTTTGGGCTCATGGCCAGGAAGGACCAGTCCTTGGAGAAGGACATCATACTTGGAAGGGTGGAGGAGCAGCACAGGAGAAGACACAAGATGAGATGGCATAATGGGAGTAGAAGTGTTGAAATCAATGAGACTGGCTCAGGGTAGGACAGATTTCAGGGCTATTATAAATAGGACTGCTAGGAGTAGCGAAAAGATGTTTGAAAACAAACATTTCAAAACTTTATTCTCCTGACCCCACTAACCATCTTTTCAGTGTTTTTAGTTTTCTTTGCTTCACAAATCTTATTGATACCCAAAATCAAAATAACACATCAGAATGCAAAATAAAACACATTTCAGATTATCATATTGTTTCTTATTTGTTTGAGAATAAAGAGTCAATTACCAAAGAAATTAAAAGAAAACACTTCACCAATTCTACCTATTATGTTCAACTGTAAATGGTGACTGTTCATTCTTTTCTATCATTATGTTACGATTATTCTGGCACCTATCTAAGGCTCTGATGGCTAAGTCATAAGGAAATGTGATGCCAAGCCAAAAGCTCATGAAATGAATCCACCAGTTTCTCTGTGGGAAAGGTGGACAATCTCCTTTAGTGTGATTGTCTATAAAAGCCTGCTAGAGGGTAAGCAAGCTATTCTAACTGTATGGTAAACAACAACAGTCTAAGGCTAACCCTTTTGTTCATGTATTGGCTCCTACCTGCCCTTCCTGACTTCAGTGCTACTTCAAGATTTTCTCCAAGCAATGCTCTCATATTTCTCTGCATGGATATAATCCTTACATGTTGCATAAACTTCATAATCAAGCAAATGTACCCATGCATTCTCATTTGAGGAAATATATCTTTGAATTTACATTTTAGCATCAATATACCAAACCCAAACCCAGTGTCTTACACTCAATTTTAATTCATAGGCACCTTATATAAGAACACATGCTACACTCCTGAAGGCATGTCGTTCGAGGCCACCAGCTGCTCCGCAAGAAAAGGATTGGCAATCTCTTCTTGTGTGATCAATCGCCTCTGAAAACCCACCTGTGGGTCAGCTATGAGTTGGTTCCGACCAGATGGTAAACAACAGTAACAATTGCCTCCATAGGATTTCCACTATAATTCTTTTTTTAAAAAAGTTATTGATTTTCATACAAATATAGCAACTTTACATTATGTTTCATTCATATAGATTGTGTTTTATACAATTTTTCATTTATATTGTGTCTCATGTTATCATTTATACACATTCTATTTTACATTAATTTTGTACTAGTTTATTTATAAAATTCAAGTACATTGTTTTTCACTTAAGATTTTTCCTATTCCTTCACCCCAACCACCCACCGAATTGTGCAACCCTATGATTAACAATCCTCTCTCACTCCTCTGCTTCCACCCTCCCCTCCTTCGATCCACTATAATTTTTCATGGACATAGACTACCTCATCTTTCTCCTACATAATAATTATTAGACAATTCCAGACTTTTGATTAGCAACCTAATATTTAATCTTCTCTATAAATGTTATCTCAACTGACTATAATTTTCTCATCATTCTAATGAATTATGTCTATTAAGTTTATAAGAATATCATTGGCACACTACAACAAGATTACAGAGATTTTTTTTACTATCAAAATTTAAATTCATCTGGACTGGAATAGGAAAAGAGGTAAATAGGGAAAGTTGTTGGAAAGTGAGTGGGATTTCTTTTTTCAAAATTACAATATTTATTATTGTTGTTAAGTCCTAATGAATTGAGTATGACTCATAGTGACTTTATGAACAATAGATATGAAACTTATCCTATTCTATGCCATCCTCATAACCTTAGACACACTCAACCCCATTACTGTTTGACCTGGTTAATGGTTTCCCTCTCCTTTATCCTTCATCCATTTTTTAAGCATGATGTTCCTCTCCAAGGACTAACTTCTCTTTGCAATATGCCCAAAGTATGTGAAAAAAAAAAAAAACCTTTATCATCTTTACCTCCAAGAAGCACTCTGGCTGCACCTTCTCAAAGACCTGTTTTTTTCTTTTGGCAGTCCACAACGTAATCAATACTCTAATACCAAAGGTCAAAGGCATCAATTCTTTCTGTCATCTTTATTCATTGTCTAGAACAGAGCAGGGCAACACTGCATGGTTCAAAATTGGGAAGGGTGTACGCCAGGGATGTGTCCTGTCTCCATACCTTTTCAA